TTTTGTAATATTATTTGCGTTAATCAGACGAAAATATGTTTGAACGAGGAGGATATGTGTGGGTTCTTCAACCTGAAATGCCATTATACAAACTCAACGTCTAGCGTAAATTTCTCTGCTCTAAGGTAAATTCCAAAAAGCGTTTTCCACCAATATTTCGCTTGAATTTCTTATTTGTCACCCGAGTCTAACCATTTTAAGAGTCTTGATTTAATTATTATTGTAAATACTACGTGAATATCACAAAGTATAATTTATATACTTGCCAGTAATTCCTAACCCGCCGCTCAAAGTTCCTGTGAACAGGAACTGAATTTCGGAACAACCTATGAGCAGGGACGGATGTGTATGGACGAGTGACTGGGGCTGATAAGTACAATGAAATACTCTTCCAACACTATTTGCTTTCTTTATTGTTTCCATGGATACTGGATGTGGAAACACAACGCCGTGCGGGTAGCAAACGTCCAGGAACCAAGATTTATTTCAATAACCAACTCCATAGAGCACAGTGCTCCTTGTAGACGCTGATAATAACAGAGCCGGCCAGGAAAATGTTCCTTTTCCTCTGCGAACCAGAAGATTCATTATCGTGTTCACAGCATCCCTACTACAAAACGTTATTTGTATCTTTCGAATGCATTTTGCAATATCGCGTGTCTTTAAGACAATGCATAAGATTTCGTGTAATGAACACGATAAATTTAAATTTAATTAACTTGTTTAACCCTTTTGAATTCAGACAATCTCATCTAAATAATATTACAAGTTCAGTTCCTACCGCAAGAGAGTACAAAACGTCTCCATGACAACGATCTGTTAGTTAAGTTTGTTTGGGGAAATAACAGCTGTTTATTTTGAGAATCATATTAAACTCTGTGGTCAAAATGTAATTTCGCAATGGAAAGTTGCCATAGAAATTTCTTCTGTTATTCGATATCTCTGGCAAATCAAATCAAAAGATTTTAATTAAGAAATATATATTTTTATTTGGATTTTATTACGACCCTGTCCAAATGTGGAGCACTGTGTTCATTTAAAAGTCTAGGAAAATATAAGAAATTAATTGGTTCAATATTATTATTATACGTTATATTTCGTCATTATATCTCTAGATCATTTTAGATTAGAATTTACTCTAATAGAAAACATACATCAAAAGATTTAACAATTCGACGGTATCACTGTAAAGTAGTGTAAGTTCATTAAACAAAAAACAAAACAATTTCGAACATACATCAAAAGATTTAACAATTCGCCGGTATCACTGTAAATTGGTGTAAGTTTATTAAACAAAAAACAAAACAATTTCAAATCGCTCGTCAAATTCATTGGTTTAAAATCATAATATAATCATATACACATCCGTGATATACAATTTTGACATGACGTTAAGAATGAATTGCTAGTTGTTACGGTCTACAGATAACATGAAATACAGGCCGTTAAATAGCAATGATATTTCGGTTATCATTTCTGGATTTGTGCCATTTTATCTCGGCAGTGACGAATTTTACGTCAGAAGCAATTTGTAACGCTTATCAGAATGATGAAAATCCATTAAGCTATACATACAAATTACCGTTTTACATCGCTTATAAAGTATCTCTGTGTATCAAACCCCCCCTCTCTCTCTCATTAATGTGAAACTAATTGTGAGTCAACTCAGATGATGTTGAGAGGGGTCAGAAAATTACTGAAAATAAAAATTGTGTTCGTATAAGCCACTAATCGATTTAAGTGTATAATCAGTGTTAAATATCAAAGACCTGAACTCTGTACATCTCTGCTACAACACGTAACTAATTTTTTAAGTCTCATATTATAATGTTTCATTTACGTGTATATAGATTTCCTCATTCACTACCAAACGTGGCGATATTTCATATTATTTGTTATTTAAAAAAGTATTAGTGTACTGGAGCCGAGAGATTGTTTTAAATATTACAATAATATTTTTTAAAAAAAAAATTAAATCGGTAAACATGATTTGTGAAAACGTTTTGAAATTCGATTTTTGTTTCTTGATATTTTATGACTCATCTTAAAGACTTGCAAATAATAGGCGTTCTTTACGTACATGAACACATTAAAATTTAAGAACCACGCGTGTTTTAACAAAAAAAGTGTCTATACTGGAAAGTTTTTAGTATTATGTATTGCAATCCGTGTAGTCATGTGCATAATTATTAACGTTTCGGATAGATGTATTGCTACTATCGTCAGGGTATGCGATCACAATATAACTTACGAAGATGTAAAAAAAAAAATTGTATATAATATAAAAATAATGTATTTTAAAGAAGAATTGAACGATCGTTAGGAAATATTTTACTCAGAGTTTATCTTAAAATCGTAGGCAATTCTCTTTCATCTGAAATGTGCGTTTGTACGCATATTAATGTTACGTATTTTTATGCAAATTATTTTAAATATCTCAAACATCGGGTGGTCGCTCGCAAATTGATTCGGTAGGAGGAAACAATTAAGTAAGATCCAATTTGCATGCAGGAACAGAGTTCATGCTAAGTAAAAGGGAGTGTGGATTTTGTGGCTATTATGAACACGTGCACATGAGGCATTTGAGGGTAACAAGGCATTCTTTGCTTCATCTGAGATAAGAAGATATTTATCAGGTGAGATTTAAGGTTCTCACGAGTATGAAGATGACTGTCTTCTGGGATATTGCGTCGTTTAAGAACAGAAATATAACAGTACCTGCGTGAAATTAATTATGGGAAAAAAATTTCCTAAATTTGTATTTTTATTAAATTTATTTTAAATCAATTTGTTTGTTTTTGTCATACAAACAGATTACTGATCAATCATAACAGTTTAATCCGCAGTATTAACAACATCAACCAATTAATCGTTGTCGTGTGAACACGTTGCGTTTTCTTTGAGGTAGGGACTGATCTTTTAAATACGATTTAGATAAACTTCGTGCTTTCAGGTGTTGATAGATTAACGCCAAACCTAAGGAATGGAGTTTATGTAAGTCAGTTAATGTATTATGTCACTGTATTTTAATTTTAAAGGCTGATTACGAGATACAGAAATATTTGTAACCTTAGTGTCGAAATTTAAGTGGGAATGTTAAAGACAAGCGTGAAAAATAATAGGCCAGTAACCTGGCCGAGATTCGAACATGGCTGTTGGCGAATACCACGGTAACTGCAGGGAGAGTGTGAGGCTTTGGAATTCGCTCGATGCGATGAGAATTACCAAAGTGAACCGCGTACGTTGAAATTTCCGATAAAGAATTTTGTAATTTAAATTCTCTGCAAAATGTTGGGTGAAGTATCATGGCTAATTTGTTTGTAGGTAATCTCACCTTTTTACGCCTCAGAAGAGCCAATAGAAGCCCGTGGACTGTCATTGTGTCATCAAACTATTGTACAGTCGGAGATAAAATCTTTATTCCACGTGTATTTTTATTTTTATTTTACAAACATTTACGGCGTCACTCTGGTTTTAAGTCAACTTGGTTTCTGAAGTATAATTTACGAATTGCTTAATTTACAGAGTGTCGCAAGGGAGGTTTATTATGATTTGGTAAGGATTTGAAATAAAATTTTTGTGGTATATTTTAGGTGGAATTCTAGAATTTACCTGGGGAGGAAGACGACGATAAGGAAAAAAATATATAAGTTAGGACAACCGGTAAAGTAACTTTACGAATTCATAGACAGTGAGTAAACTGGCTTAACTTGGGAATTCATCTTGTCCCATATGGGCGTTAGATCTGGTGGAAAATTATATTAGAAAACAGAAGAAGATCCAAAGTGTAAGATAAACAATACGATGGGGCGGAATGAGTTTCCCCAAAAGATGGCTGTGTTTAATCGAGACCTCTCGACGGTAATCCCTCGAGGACTCGCTCCGGGAGTTGTGAAATGGAGAAAATGTAATCTTAGACTTTTGATTTCATAGAATTGGCTATCTTTCCTGAAACCAATTCCTTAAAGGACATCTCATTTCCTCTGCAAGTGAAGGTTCGATGATGTCATTACTTTTGACAGCGTATCCTTGTGAACGTCAGCATATGAGAAATAAATCGAGGTCAGAGACAGACTTTGTTTTACAGATGTTGAATCGGACACTTTGTACAGACCTGACAGGTTCAAAAGAGATAAATGACTCGAAAATTGAGGCTATGAACTTCTGATATTAATTCGTGTGTCTGGTGCTTCAGGTTTTACAGATTACCACCATTTCGCCTCTTCCAAATACTTAGAAATTTATCATACTTCCTCGCGTGATTGAATAGTATAAATGGATAGAAACTCCTTGGAAAACCTAGCGCAGATGAAAGAATAATATTAAAATGTATCTTGGGAGTAAGGGTTGGAAGTTATGGATCATGATATGATCCAGTGGCGAGCTCTTGTGAACACAGAAATTAACTTTGTGGTTTCTTAAAATAAGTGGAAATTATTTACCACCTGAGCGACTATAAGCTCTTCAAAATGCTTTGTTCGTTGGAGTTAGTGGTGTCTATTTTAAAAGCCTCACAGCCACAAGCCCCGAGAGAATCATCCTACTTTTTTTTTCAAAAGGAACTGGTAAATTACGTGAGTAAGTTCTGATTAAATGACGACTGCTTCGTGTTAGAAGATAGTTAGCGAGAAGTTAAGGGCCAGTTAGTGGAATCACCGGACTTGTGTTCCGGTCTCAAGCCAGTAGGGACCTGGAACAATTCCGGAGCCCGGAAGTCGATACTATCGGAGACCAGAACGAGCTATCGATTTGATTTAAGTTGTGAACAACTATCCCGTTGAGTTCAGCGAAATTTAGATGAATTATTTACAGCAATAAACATGTTTACTTGTAAGGTCTGTTCGCGAATTGCCTAAGACATTACATATTATATGTATATTAATTTTTCTTCAGTCCGGAGTAATTAGTATTTCTTTAATATCACTTACACTTAGTGTTTACAATACACAATTGTACTTGTCAGTACATTTTTTACCTGGCCCCTTGATAATCTCTGCGGACCACGTCATTTTAATATCATCTTTTGTTACAGGTGAACGGCACGTGGACTCTGCCAGGCTTCGTCTGTGATTTCTACATAGCAATGGATGTCACATGTAGTACGTCCTCCATCTTTAATCTGGTCGCCATAAGCATAGACAGGTCAGTCACGACATATCGATTATCGTAATGGGAAGGTACGATATTAATCGAACTCCATGGAGAAAATTACTTTTTTCAGAAGCTCATCTCACGTTCGGCGAGTCAAAACTTCACTGCCTGTTACGGTACGCGAAGACGTTCATAACTGCTCACCAGTAGCTCCTGTCGCGAGCTACCTGAAACCAATCCACACCGTCACAAAAAATAACTTCAAGATTCATTTTAATATTATCTTTATATCTATGCCTGTGTCTCGCAAGTGGTATCTTCATATAAGATTTTCCATTTAATATTATGCATAGATTTCTCATTTATTATGCGTGCTACATGCCCCGTCCATCTCATTCTTCTTAATTTGATGTAGAAGAATTACAATTCCACATAATGAATAATTAACAGTTGAAAAGCGTTCAGAATTGCACTACGTCGTAAAAAAAGTAATTATTTAAGAGTGCTATATCCTGATATTAGGAAGGAAGACGGCGATTTGGAAAACCTAGTCGTAGACGACATGTATTTAAATCGATTTAGAAGAACTTGTGGATTGGATTTAACTGTCTCGAAATGGAACCGGTGAACTATCTTAGCGACTATTAGCTTCTCAGGAAGGCGAAATTGATTTGATTATTCCCACCCCGTTTTATATATAACGTTTGTAAACAAGTGTGATTCAAAATTAATTGTGAAATTTAAGATGGGTTATCTGAAGAGCGAGTTCAGTACGTTAAGTAAGCTCACTTTCAAGCTCTTGTGGTTCCGATGTTAAGAGTAGATCCCACGTAATTCCGCGAAGTCGCGGTACAATACTTTGGAACGGATATCATTTTACATTTACCTTAAAATGAATTTTATAATTTTCTCATACATGTAAACAAAGCTATTGTAGATATTTGAGCTGTGTATAATCTACTAATTTTTGTATTATAAATCGCTTTTTTTTTTTAAACATTTATTGACGTCCTGTAAAGTTGTGTTTCTCTGACGTATCCGGAAAATAAGCAGATTACAGCCTCAGAACGGAGCTCAAAGTGATTACAACTTTTTGCCATCTCTGCATAAAAGAAACGAGTATTTTCTGTTGTTAACTCTGTGACGTCATCTGTTCGAATTTGTTTCTAGCAAAACGACTCGCCGTAAACCGAATGCATCTTTCATTCTGGTTGGGCTCATAATTGTTTCTCTGACAAGGAACCACATCGTAAAAAGCTGCTGTATCCATACGTAACCTCGTCTACATTTTAAATCACAAGTTCAGACTAAGCAGAAAAGAATTATTTATTTCCATAACGTTCCTTTGAGATAAACTTTAGTGCCTGTTCCAAGTCACGGACATTCGGGTTATTAAATTTTAAGTTTAGGGGATGTTTGATATTAAATTGACGTAAGGGACATCCACTTGTGACGTAGAGTTTGTTTTTGAATGTAACAGATAAAATGTATTTACATGAAAGTCAGGAACTTCCAGTACAACTTTATGGAGTGAGGTTAAAATTTGTGTAATAGGTTTCAACTTTCTGTATTTGTTTCCTCTGAAGTCACGTTTTTGATACGCAAAAGATCATGTCATTAAAAATAGGGGTGCACAAAGTGCAGAATTCATTCGTAAGTCCTGTGTTCGAACTTTACTTCATTTTCCGAACCCCCTGAAGATGAGGGTGCTTTATGAACTCTTTTGTATTGAAGAAAATAAAATACATGTGACCGGAGATAATGTTCGCGTGAGAATTATTTGGCCTAAGAATGAAAAAAAGTACGTGATTAATTTTCGACTTTATATAACGAGGAACTTTGTGGTGTTATGACAGCGAGATCAGACGGTTACGAAATATGGACTGGGCATAGGACTACATGGAAGAAACAAGAAATACGTATATAATTTTGTTGCGGCATCTTTGTCGGAGATGTTTGGGGGGGGCTAGCATTAAGACCAGTCTTGAAGAGATTTTATGCGTGAGCGCGGATTGGATTAATGTGGCTCATGATAGGAACCTGAACACGGTAATGAACCTTGGGGTTCCAAAAATGTCAGGGAATTTCTTGAGTACCTGAGCGACTATTTTCGAGTTTTTCAATCAAGTGGAAACTGAGAACCACTTCACTCCTAACTTATTTTCATTGGTTGTTATGGTAACCTATGTTAGGCCTGTCTTATATGAGCCTACTGATTGAATGTTTTGGAAGGATTTGTCTACTCGAAGAAGATGGAAGGACCGTAAATGGGGACAATCTCATGCATACTTGATGACGTCACACAGTGAGCGCCTGAACTGAGCGCTTATAAATCACAACCAGACATAGAACTCGCCCCGCGTTGCTTCGTGTGGTGTTCCAATCCTGAACGACCTGATTATAAATTGAAATGTAAATGGTGTCTGGACAATTTCTTTAATGCCTTGATTAAAACCACGTCTTACATCAACATTTTCCTTCGGTCAGGATACCTCAATCAGTATTGCGGTACCCAGACCATTTTTTGGCAAGGAAAATTACGTCTGTCTTCGCCACCAAGTCCAGACCGGCTCCAAGGACCACTCAGCCCCCGCCCGCAACCAAACAACAATTTCGTCCACGGCACGTAATTGCTAACTTCGTCTTGTAAAATAAAATATGCGCCTTGTGAAAAATACCTCGATGTTATAGGCCCCTTTTAGAAACTTAGTAGTGACTCAGTTGGTAAATAAATTCCGTGACTTCATGAAACCCTAAGGTTACACGTTGCTAATTCATGTTCAGTTTAATATTATCTTCCCGTCCAGGTCTACTATACGGTATATTCCCTTTAGATATTCCAACTAAAATGTTTTATACATTTCTCATGTCTTCCATTCATACTGCACGTTCCGTCTTGTTTTAGGTCTAAATATAATTAATCTGTGTTCTTCAATTTGGCCTAATGTGAGATACCAGGTTTTACACCCGTACAAGACAGATTATTTTATAGTTCTGTATATTTTAATTTGTATTACTTTAGACAGAAGACGCTGGCCTTGTAATCCTGGGGTCTCGGGTTCGATTCCCGGCGGTGCCCGAATTTATAACTTGTGTTGGGCAAGGCCGTGGTCTAGGCAACACGGAGTTTTCCTCCGTGGCATCCCAACAATTACTCCATTCACACACAGAAGAAGGCAATGGCAAACCACTTCTGGATCATCTGCCAAGAACGTATATGAACAGGTCCCAGTCCGAGAAAAGGATGGAAGGATCCTGTTCATATGGACCTGTCGTCAGACAGAACACTAAATAAATAAATAATAAATAGACAGAAGACGGACGTAACCGAAAGTTAGCAAACGTTCCACGGATGTAATTTCTTCTTGGACGTATATTTGATTTAATACCGTTCTTCAAAAATATGTCGAAACAGGTGTTCTGCCATCGTAATAAGATGTACTTCGCGATGTCTTAAACTCGTGGCGTTGGGATTTAAGTGAGAACGTCGTTTAGTTTGAACGTGCCCCGCACTTCAACGAGTCGCTGTAACATTATCTGTGCTCCACAACAAGTGTACCAACATCTAAACTGCACACATTACCCAGTATAAGGCAACAGTTCCCTCGTATCGGCTCTTCACAAAATGACGAAGCTCAGTTTGCTGTACGTGTGAATTAGTTTTTGGTATT